CTCGTGAACATATTATAGTAGAGAAATCGAGCATTAAATATTGAAAAAAATTGTTAGAAATTGATGGTTCTCTGAGAGTACCATCAAGCAACAAAGCGTTAAGCGGAGTTTACAATAGAAGTCGTACAAATTGACCAATCGCGATTGAGTTTGAGAAAAGTAATTGACCGCGATTGCTCAATTTCTACAACTTACAACTCTAAGACCGGTATTCGTAGTCCTATCTTATATTTAAACATATATAAACATATATATATATTACATATCTAATATGTAACGATGACTATTTGCATAGTGAGAATCTATCATGGTTAAATGTAACTATTAATATCTATATATAAAATACTTACTTCATTTCTGTATCAAGATCGTCTAGTCGTTTCATTATTTTTCTGCAACAATACGTAAATATATTAACTGATGCATTTTATTCATACCGATAAGCAATTTTTTTCTGTACTGTCGTATATAATTTATTATATCTGTTATATATTATTTTATACATACTCATTATTTGTGATGCCCTTCTGTGCTGTCTCTTCTACATAAGGATTTGTGTATCCTTCATATTCATTGTTGAAGACCTGGGATTCTCGTTGTTGAAGACCTGGGTGCTGTTGTACGGCCATGGCTGATCTCATTTCCTGCAATGGAAGCAATATTTTATTCAAATAATATGTTTTATCATGTTCTGTGTGTAGTGTAAAATTGGTATTATTAGTGGTGTTTGTATGAGTTTGCGTGTTTGAAGAAGATCCTATGTTTGTGTATCTTTGTCCTGTGTTTATATATGTCTGCATTTGTGGAGAGTATGGTATATTTGTGTATGTTTCTATGTGTGCAACATGTTCTGTATTTATATGTGGAAGCTTTTGTGGAATGTATCCTGTATCAGAGATAATTGTTGGGCGTGTCGATAGTCCTGTGTATTGTTGTATCTGTGTATCTGTTTGAGTTATTCGTGGTTGTATGTTAAATGTAGAATTCTCATTTTGTTCGATAATCGCTCTGATGTCATCAATATCGTCGTCCAAATCCACGGCGGAAGATGGTGCTGGATTCCTTTTACGCTTTGGACGTTTTTCATCCTCATCAGATGATGTTGTCTGATAGCGTTGTGGTTTATTGATAACACGCTTCAGTCGATCCATCTGAAAGTGATGATTATGTATATATTAATATATTTCTGCTACATTACAGAAATAGTTTTGTTACATTTCTGTACTATTATGTAGAAGAAACATTTCCGTGTAGGATATTAAACATATATGTTACGTATGTTATATATAACATTTACTATTTGCATAGTGGGACCTGTCATATTGGTTAACTTTAACTATTAATATCTACCTTTACAGAGCGATAATTTTTTCTTTCATAATAGATTTGTATGTGTCAATATGACTAAGTTTCCGCCACATCAGTGAGGAGGAGTTTTCTTTCAGTTTTACCATAGTGGATATCTGATAAATAGACATAAGCTTGAACGAGTATCCCACTGTGCAAATAGTAAATGTTACATGTTAGATACATAACATTGTATGTTTCACATCCTATGTAGAAATTCTCCTTTCTTCTATATAATAGCTCAGAAATGTAGCAAAAATATTTCTGTTATATTTCTATGATGTAGAAAAAAGGTTTCTGCG